GCTGCCCATTAACTTCCCACGTGAAGCGTGGCCTGTGGAGGGGTTTGGTGTGGGTTGTTTGGCCGCTCTGCCTCGTGTAACCTGGTGTCACCTTGAACAGTCTTCCTGGGATGGGCTGAGACTGGCAGCACGGCTCTGAGACATTTAAAAACCCCGAACAGGAGGGTGAACTGTGTAATTTATCAGTAGGTTTCTAATTGTGAACTGTAAAATAAAGAATAAAAAGAGAGGCACACTGTGGTTCTTTTGTTGTGTTTGTTGTAGTTTTTGTGCTAAAACACAACATCCTTTTTATTGTTCACAGCTCAACCTTTCTTTTGTGAAGAGTTCAAACAGAAACGTGTGGTTTTGGTTCTTCATGAGAAAAAATGCAATTGCTTTCTAGAGCAGAATAGCATCCAGTTTTCTCACGGATAACCTGTGGAGGTCGGACTAACCTATCCTTGTTCAAAGGAAGCTGCACTCTGCAGGGGTTCGCTGAAATCCCCAGGTAGGCTGCTGGGCACAGCTGGGTTTGACTAAACCACGTGAGGGATGAGCTGCTGTCGCTGCTTGGATTTGGATATTAAACTCTTCCAGTTTCTCGTGCTTGCCTCGAAGCCAGACAGATTATTGTCGTCATTATCTGAACGTATTTTTGTTCCCCAGTCCCCTTTCAGCTTGTCTGAGTGCAGAGGCACGCTCCTGAGCTCAGGTTTGCTGCCGCTGAAATACAAGGGTTTTGCAAATAAGTACTGAATAGCTGAACTGGCGGCTGCCACTGCTGGATTTGGTGCAGGTACCTGGGAAATAGGCAGAGAGCATTTGTAGAATTAAACCCAGGGGTTTTTCCTATTCTTGTGCCTTTTTTTATGTCATATAGAGTATATATCATCAATTATTTTAACATGTTTGCCGGAGGTACAGCAGTTTGATCTGGCAGATTATGTGAGCTCAGGGGACTGGTCTCAGCTCTCATTTTTTGGGGGAGAGGAAGCACAAGCGCAGTTGGCTCTGGTAAGCAGCAGGAAAAACATGATTTTACTTGAGATCTCTCAACCTGCAAAACCAATTTCATTGTATTTTTGAGGCCTGGTGTAACTTGTTGATGTGACAGTAGAGAAAAGGACTGAGACACTTGTGGTTCTCTGCAAAATCCTTTTAAAGTAATATTGTCGTGGTTTGTCCCCCATGGCCCATGTGGGTGTGTTTGCCTGAGGGATAAACCCCTGAAGTCCCTAAAGCTATTGCTGGGAATGACCTGGCTCCCTGTTTGCCTGCCCCTTGCCTACCCATTTATGGAATTAAAAGATGGATATAAAATACAGCGTTAATTAGAAGAGCAGCATTTTGGTGTGAAGTTTCTGGGAGCCCTTTCTGGCTGTGTTTAGCGAAGCACGGTGCCATGGTCATGCCTGGGCAGTGACCAGGCCAGGAGCTCACCCTGGCACAGGCGCTTCAAGTGACGTCCAGCCGCTGAGGCGTGTGTGGCGTTTCCACAGCAGCCCCTGGCCCCGGCCGCGGGGAGAAGCCCGAAGGAAGCGGTCGGAGCTGTTTTCCGGCCCACGCAGGCCCCGTGCCAGTGGAGGCGGGCGCAGCCC